CATATATCATCATGCTAATAATAACCCAACCCAGATCCAAAATCCCTTACATCACCATCTTAAACGCCGGATCCCTATCATCTCCTCGTCCTTCGAATTCCGCATACTTTCCACTCGCCTTATCGCGGTTGATTTTCCACACCCACGCCACATTCGCTGCGACCCTATCATTCACGTTAGCTGCATATCCCGCCAGCAAAACGATGGAAATCCACCTGTACACACTAGAAAAGAGAACAAGGAGAAGAGAACTTACAAAACCCAAGCCGCACACAACAACCCCAGCATAATGCTATGACTCTTATGGAAATTCGGCTTCTCGCTCTTCTGATACGTAAAGCTCGCGACGAAACCACCCGCATTGGCAATCGCAAGCTGCAGCGCCGATGTAGTCGCGCGCTTGTAGTGGCCAGCGGAATTATTGCTGTTCCAAGAAAGAATACATGGGACGGAGGAATACATGCCTGTAGCCATGAGAAATGTCATTCCGTATTGTACTTTCGGGTTCGTCGATTGGCTGATGACTCCGTAGCCGATGATAGCAACGGGAAGGGTACACAGCATGACTGGGCCACGTAGAGCGAGGCGGTCGGAGAGAATGGCTACAAGGACGGTGAAGACGGAAGCGACGGCGTAAGGAATGACGGTCCAGAGCTGGGCTTTGTTGGGGTCCTTGGCGAAGCCGTTGTTGATGATTGTGGGGAGGAAGAGGCCGAAGGAGTAGAGGCCTGAGAGGATAGAGAAGTAGGCAGTGGCTGTGAGCCAGACTTGGAGGTTGAAGATGCCGCGTTTGATTTCGGCCCAGTCGAAGCGTTCGTGCGAGGCGGATGCTTCACCGAGTCGGAAGCGGGCGTGGGCTTTTTCGGAGGGGCTAAGGAAACCGGCTGATTCGATGGAATTGGGAAGGAAGATAGCAGAGCATGCGCCGACGACAACGGTTATCAAGCCCTCAACTATCAGGATCCATCTCCAGCCTTCGAGTCCGCCTGCTGGGCCAATGGCATTGAGGCCTCGAGCGAGGAGTCCGCCAAAAGCACCAGATAGAGAGGCTGCAGTATAGAAGATGCCTATGCGTAGAGCGAGCTCCTGGCGGCGATAAAAGTGAGAGAGATATAGTACCTAGCAAGGCGTTAGCGAAAGACGGTTTATTACGTCGCCAAAATCTTACCATTCCAGGCAATAGGCCTCCTTCAGCAACGCCCAGGAGCGCGCGAACAGAAGCAAAAGACGCGAAATTTGTCACAAATCCCAAGCACATGGTCAGGACGCCCCAGATGGCTGTCAGAAAGGGTAACCATATCTTTGGCGATACCTTTTTCAGCAGCAAATTGGACGGGAGTTCGCTGCACAAATTTAGTCTTCTGGACTGCATCTGCCATACAGGAAGCTTACCTCGCAATATACGTAGCGTAAAAGACGCAAAGCCCAATAGCGTACTGGTGGTCCGTAAGATGGAGATCATTCTCCAAACCAAGAATCTTCGCATTCCCAACGTTTGTACGATCAATGAACGAGCACAGGAACAGCAGGGCGAGAACCGGCAGGATGCTAGAAAACAACAAAAATAAACGAGTCAGCCACGTACATCATCCACAAAAGCCCTCAAGATAAAGACATGGAGAGCAGGAATGGAGAGAGAAACATACCGACAATCGATCTTGAACAACAACCTACTCGTTGCCTTCGGATCCTCCAGAAGCCCCTCTTCAAACCCCTCACTCCCACTCCGCTCAACCTTTTCATCCTGCATTTTATCCACGCTCATCGTACTCGCCCTCTATTTCGCACCGTCTCTTATCTCCAACCCTTTCGCCTCTCTGAGCTATCTCAAAGGCCCCAAGTAAATAAAAAAAAGAGACAGAGCCAAAGAAAGCAGGTAGAAAGACTGAGTCGGCTGCCACGAGCAACGTAGCAAGTAAGCAGCGCAACAGCGTAACATCCAAGCACAGGAACACACCCCTCCCCATCCTTTTAAACATCCCCAACCCCCCCTCTCTCCCCTCCATCTCAGCTAAACCCCTGCAGCGCTACCCATCCCGACCCCACGGGGCATTCTCCACCGCAACTCAGCACTCAGCACACAGCAACGGTTGCACGGCTCCACCACGTATCCCCCCCTGCGCACCTGATTGGCGCAGCACGCCGCTCGGAACACAATAGTAGCCCACATGCTGGCCCGGCTTGTGCGTTAGCGGTAAAGAAGCAGCAAAGCGATCAGTCCGGCGCTGTGCCACGCTTGACGGTCCTTTTTTTGCGGCCGAAAGAAGGGCTGCCAAAGCAAAAAAAACACACATGACAAGGGTGTGAGTGTGTGTGTGTTTAGGGTTGCTTTGTCAAGAACATCATTTTTACGTATGTCTGCGGTCAAGCAAGAGGAATTTGCGTTGCACATGAGCGATGGGTGGCGTCCTTTTTGGGAGCGAAGGAGCGAGCGAAGATTGCATGGGCGTCCTGTGTACCAAGCTTTTTTTTTCGTGACAGGCGTGGCGAACCAAGAGGTGCGAAGCCTTTTCGCTTGCGTGGTGCTTGTGTGTGCTTGGCTAACATTTCCTTGGTTCCGCCCGCGTCAACTTGAGTTTTTGTGGGGGGGTGTTTGGCGCTACGTGTGTCAGCCAGGAATTTTGAAGAGGCTTTTTGCACATACACATACACATACACACACACCTCATCAAGCGGAGCAAAGTAGATAGTGACAGAGGACTTACTTTTTTTTATTGCCATGTTTCCCATTTTGGAAGGAGGAAAAAGGTAGATAAGTGACTTACTTACGCGCTGGAAGATGCATGCGTTGCGCGCTTCTAGACCGTCCTTTAAGCACCTTGCTAGATAAGAAAAAGGTGGGGACGGAAAGTATACCCGGTACACCGCACTATGTACAAAGAGCTACTACTGCAACATAGAGAAACAAAAATGCCACTACTACTCCATCGTCTTGAGATCACTCGCGACTTCAAACTTCGCATCCGTCTTCGCCTTGACATCCTCAACGCTAACCCCCGGCGCCGTCTCCGTCAGCGTCAAAGTCCCCCTCTTCCTGTTTACTTCAAAGACACACAGATCGGTAATAATAGTGCTCACGCACTTTGCTCCTGTAAGCGGCAACTGGCATTCCTGAACAATCTTGCTGGATCCATCTTTAGCAACGTGTTCAGTCGCGACAACGACTTTTGTAGCATCGGGATTGCTAACGAGATCCATGGCGCCGCCCATACCCTTGAAGACTTTGCCGGGCACCATGTAGTTGGCCAGGTCGCCAGAGGCACTGACTTGTAGAGCTCCAAGGATGGATACGTCGACGTGGCCGCCGCGGATCATGCCAAAGGATTCGGCGCTGTCAAAGGTCGAGGCGCCGGGAAGGAGGGTTACGGTTTCTTTGCCGGCGTTGACAATGTCTGCGTCTACTTCTTCTTCCGTCGGGTAGGGGCCCATTCCTAGAATGCCATTTTCGGATTGCAGCCACACCTTGACGCCATCGGGTACGAATGCTGCTGCGGCTGTGGGGATGCCGACGCCCAGATTGACGTAGTATCCCTGCTTGAGCTCCTTTGCTGCCCGACGAGCGATACGATCGCGTCGTTCGGCGGCTTCGTTCTTTGATGAGGCGTCTTTGGATGCAGCCGGTTTTCGCAGCTTCTTGATCTCAATGTTCTTGGGGGCGGTGGCTGGGACGATGCGGTCGACGAAGATGCCAGGGAGATCGACCTCGTTGGCATCAAAGGTGCCTATAGGGACAATCTCTTCGGCTTCGACAATTGTAAGGCGTGCGGCTTTGGCCATGATGGGTCCAAAAGCTTTGGTGGTGTATCTGCTCATATTTTCAGTGAAGCTCAAGGGATTGGGATCTCTCAATTCCTACCTGAAAACACAGTTACCAGCTTCATCGGCCTTGTGTGCACGGATAATGGCGACATCGCCGGTCAATGCAGTCTCCATGAGGAACTTCTTGCCATTGAACTCTCTAACCTCACGCTTCTGTCCGTAGCCTACAGCCTTGCCCTCCTTGTCAAACTTGGCCGGAATCTGGCCATCTTGCAACAGTGTATTTACTGCAGTGGGTGTGTAAAATGCTGGGATGCCTGCGCCACCAGCGCGTATCCTCTCTGCAAGCGTACCTTGCGGACAAAGCTCAATTTCAATACCACCGCTCAGATACTGCTTCTCAAGCGCCTTGTTGTTGCCGAGAAAACTTATAATGAGCTTCTTGACTTGTCCGTTCTTTGTAAGATGTGCCAATCCTCCTACGTCTTCAATGCCAGCATTGTTTGAGACGGCTGTTAACGAATGTAATGACTCCGGCCCACGCTTCTTCATCGCTGCGATCAAAGTGTCTGCGACACCACACAACCCGAATCCTGCGCTCAGGACGGTGGAACCAGGCTGTACATCTGCAACTGCTTCGTCTGCATCTTTGAAAAGCTTTGATTTCGAGCGGTCAATTGTCGGCGCGCGCTCACTGATGCAGCGCAATTGACCTGTAAGCCGCCATCGTGGTGGCAGAGTTCGCGCAGCCCGCAATTGTGGAGGAAGAGATCGCCGGGCGCATAGCCGTGAGGGAAGAGCTGTGAGCAGCCGGCAGGAAGCAGGCAGGGTATCCATTGTGAAGTAAATTACGGACGCAGCAACAGCGTGAACGGTCTGGTTAAATCATTTGAGAAGGGGTTTCAACAAATGCCGACTCATCCAAGCGGGCGACGATTTCGCGGTCGAGCTCCGAACATGGGTCCTGGAGCGCGTGCGACAATGGCACTGCAACTCTAACGTCATGCATCTTTGGATCCGTCGGTGCCAGTTCAAGTGCCGAACGGCGAGCGACCTTGGAGCTTGGAGCGGGGCTTCGTCTACCGCCTCGGTCGGATCAGGCTTAGGCGCGCTGCCGTCCTCCTGGCGAAGCCCGAGGTTCATCCACCCTCTGCATCCACACGCTTGGCCACTTGCTAGTCACACGAGCAAGACCGGCCGTCCCGTAATACGGGGAGTCGATACGCATCTCTGCCGTGCCATCAGGGAAAGTTGAAGTCAGGAAGATTCATCCAGTCTGTCCATAGCGGGTTGGAGTCGTTCCAGGGCAGATCGAGCAATGCTGTAGAGAAGAGATCCGAGTTTGTAACAGTCTCATTGACCTCGTTATAGGACATTGCAGAGAAATCTAACCTGTCAGGCCAGTAATCGCCTACTGGATCATGTCCCAAGGGCTGACTATTAGGATTTGGCATCTCATTGTGCATCATGCTCGAGGGCGAAAGGAGATCTGGTATAGCCATTGAGGTTGGTGCAGGCTCCTGCGGAGGTACGGGCGGTGGCATCTCAATGTCAGGCGCCTGCTTAACCAATACGCGCAGAAATCTACCATACACAACTGATGCCCCGTTCCGATGGACAGGTGTACTGCCAATGCGTTCCAGGACGGTTGCCGTATCCTCTATCAGGTGCCGCACGCTTGGGGCAAGGCTCTTCTTATTGCCACTCCCCTCGGGTACGGGTGCGCTTAGAGCCAGCGCTATGCTGGCTGCAAAGCAAATCATCGTGACGGTGTTATTGGGCATTGACTTGAGACGTCCCTCGCCTTGGATTGCTGCGCGCATAACATTGAGCGCCGAGGATAACGCAGACTTGCGGAACGAGCGCTTGACTTCTGGTGGCGCGCTCGGATGGTTCAGAAGCATTGAGTAGGTCGAGAGTCGTGTGTGTGTAACGAGTATCTCGACATAAGGGGGTAGGCTCTTGCTCTCTGGGTCACTTATAACTGAAGGCCATGCCCGAGACCAATTGTCGAAGAAGCCCTCAATTGACTTGTCGATTTCCTGCGCAACCTGGGAACCTACTTCGGCCGAGCCATAGTTGTCGCATCGCGTGCGTACTTCGGCAAAAAGGTTGTCGAGATCGCGACGTAATACTGCCATGGATACTAGCGGACCGTCCTGGGCATCCGAGTGCTGGTGGTCATGCCATTTATCGCTGTATTGAATCAAGCACGTCTTTGGTACACAGTAGCTGCGGCCACGAGCGAGGCACACGCCACGCTCTAGCACAAACAGCGCAATCCAGACCCTTTCTCTCCGACGAAGCAGTCGCTGGCCCCATTCAGAAGTCGGGTCAATGTCCTCGAAACCATCCATAGCTAGTGCTTTTCTTGCGTCAAGACACTCTGCTTTGGGCATCTGCCTCGTGAGCTCCGGACCAAAGGACGTAGATGGAGTGATGACTTTGTCTAGCATAAGATCCAAAGAAATAGACAATGCCGTAGCTAGATAGAGACTTGTGTCGTCGTCGCTTGCATGCGACCCTGGGGGCATCCATGGTATGCTCACCATGAATGCCAGGACGATTTCAACGGATCTGTACTTTCGAACAATGACCTGTTCAGCTAGAAACCTGCGGTGAAGAAGTAGTCTTTTGGCCAAAGCAGACGTTTCTGGTAGGAAGACGGCCGTCACAGCCAGCAATGTCGTAAACAGAAAGGCTGAGCGGTTTCGGACAAAAGGTAGAGTATGCACCACTGGGTCTAGACCCCAGCGCGTGTGAGCTAGTCTTTTGTGGAAACTGCGTCTTGTCAGCTACTTGATGGAATTCTTTTGGCAATACGTACTATTGGAGGAGCATCTCCGCTTCATCTTTGGTAACCAATCCTACATCAATTGGATCTAACCCAGATCCTTGGTCCAAATGCGCCTTCATTGGTAAGAAGAAGTGATGAACATCGAGGAATGCGCTTTGCTCGCTACCAGTAAACCTGCCTTCTGGGCTGGCGACACTTGTATTGTACGACTGTGGGGTGGTGGCAATCCTCAAGTCTGATGCGCGGGCTAAAAGCTGAAGCGGATTCTCGACATCTTCAACGGCAAGCTGATCATCGCTTGAAGTGCTGGCAACTTCTTTTGCTGGCACATAAGATAGTTCTGCTAGTACTGGCGGTGATTTTGCATCTTGACTAGGGCCAACGTCTCCTTGTGCTTCGTTCAAAAGCTGTTGCAAATGCTGTAACGTGCTCTGGTTGACAGCTACGTCTGATTTTCTCTTCTTGATTGCTTCTTCTACTTGGTAGATTGCTTTCTCCAACCCTGATCGTTTGCTAGAACTTGTAAGCTTAGCTAATCACACTAGGAAACGATACTCACTTTTTCACGCCCTTTTGCCTACCACTAATTGCCAGTACATCAAGTCAGCGCATGTTTCGCTATGGGTTTGTATCGGGACGTGACGTACATATGGAACTCGGGTATAATGCATTCGACGCCTACGCTAGAGCATCTTTCACACACAGAAGCGCCTTCTTCGCGCCGGCATTTTATCTTGCTTTTGCGGCAATTCAGACATGCCGCTTGCTTGACGTTCATGTCTTGGGTGGCTTCTTGGCGGGCTGAGTGTTAGGAGATTTGGTTAGGGTGCGCCGCAGATGACAGCAACATGGTAGACAGTCGGCAATGTTGGCCAAGTCAGATCTCAGCAAAGGAGCTAGGAGCGACTTGCTTGGATGTTGGAGGTACACTGCCGACGGTAGCTTCGGAGAATCCAAGTGTGAGGGCCATGCTAGCCCGAGACCGGCATTGCGCTAATTGGACCCTGGCCTGTAACGTGGGAAGGACGAACAGCACAGGTGCAGGCTTCTAGGGCTGCATGCAGTGCGCATCATCTGCATGCACTTGCTGTGCCAAGTCGTGTACTACACAAGTGCGAGTTGCTATTTGTAACGAGGAACCTTGTATTTAAAAGTGTATACGTGAGGTACGTGTGTTCCAGACCTCCAAATCTAAAGCTACTAAAACAATAGAAACAGCGGAGTCTACTCCGACAAGGTCAAGTGAAAGGCGGCGGCATAAAAGTCAATCGAATCAAAGTACACGGACATACGAGCAATCTACACACGGTCATGGCTATAGCTTACTTTCGTTCTGCTTCAATCGTATGACGCCCTATTCATGTAAGCACAGTCTACTATAGCAGACATAAGCAAGCTGCTTACCTCTTGGACGCAGCTGGCAATGAGCGTGCCATCCTTGGTATACATTCTCTGGGAAACGAGGCCGCGACCATCACCAGCCCAAGGGGTCTCCATCTCGGTGAAGATCCATTCATCTGCGCGGAAACTGCGAGGATTGTGAAAGTAGATGGTGTGGTCCAGACTAACCATCATGCCAATCTCAGGCTTTGCGTCTCCGCTCTTTGCCAGGTCTTCTGCTTTCCTCAATTCACGTATGCGCTGCTTGTCTGATTCGTTGACAAAGCTTTGGCGCTGTAACTCGGCATCATCCATCTCGAGCAGCTTCTTAAGTACGTCCTCGTCGATGCTCGACCTGGCCCTGCTCTTGCGCTGGTTCGAGTAGCGCAGAAGCTTGTGCGCACGCGCGACGGTGCCGATGAAGTAGCTATCGGACATGTATGCGATGGCGGAGAGATGGGCTTCGTGACCGCCAGCGGGGGAGATTTTACCGCGAGCCTTTATCCATTGTCGGCATTTCTTGGTGTGGGGCTTGTCGGAGTCGTCTGCTAGATATGAGCTAGGGCAGGCTTAAGGATGGTATGCGAAGTCACTCACCGTTTTCAATGGGCAACAGCTGGGTCTGGAAGGGACTCTGGCCATCGTTGGGCGTCTTCAAGTCGTCGCTACCTTCCTTGGGCGCCGGGACGTCTGGCATCGGGTAGATGTGCTCGACCTTTTGAGCGCCTCCACTGTTCTGGCGAACAAAACTCATGGTCGTAGTGAAGATGACGTTGCCCCTTTGCCGGGCCTGCACCGTCCTGGTTGCGAACGACTTTCCCGAGCGCACCCTTTCTACATGGTATATGACGGGGATCTCGGAGTTGCCTGCAAGGATGAAGTAGCAGTGCATCGAATGCACAGTGAAGTCGGGGTCAACCGTCTTCTGGGCGGCGCTGAGTGTCTGGGCAATGGCAGCACCGCCAAAGATGCCGCGCGCACCGGGGGGATGCCATAGGGGACGAGTGTTTGTGAAGATGTTGGGATCAATGTCGGCCAGCTGCGTCAGTTCAAGGACGTTCTCAATGGCCGACTGGGAGTGGTCGGCGGGCGGGGGGCGGATGAGGGTGGCCATGGTGGTGGCTGATAGTTTTCCTGTTGGTGGATCGTTCTGTGTTCTGCGAAAAGGAGGCCAGTGTAGCAAGACCAGATGCAAGCAGCAGCAGCGAGCGGCTGTGTGAGACTTTGGGCGTCGTCATTTCCGGGGCACGTCAAAGCAGCGCAGACGCGCATGAGCCGAGGCACAATGATCATCGGCCATGTGGGAGCTTGTCGCGCCGAACACGTGACTGGCCGCTGACTGATGGGGGCTGACTAAGCCAGGCGGCGCCAAGCCGAGGAGCAGGCTGGCTCTGGGGTAAAAACGTCATACTGGGCTTGCCGGGCCCTGCGCAGATGCGTACCTGGCTTGGTGCCAGAAGACTACCCACTCTTGCATACCTACATAGTCAATGTTTCATCTGTCACCTGCTGTCCGTCCTCGACGCGTGCCCGCCTCTGCATGCCTGGTGCATTGTTCGCACTCCTTCCGCTAGGCGCCTTGTATCTGCATCTTCCCTGTGCCTGCGCCTGTGCTTGTGCCTGTGGAATGTCGCGGCCCGCTGCTGCATAGCCTATCTGTACATACAACACCATCCCATCCCGCTTCACCTGCCTTGCCTCCCTCCTCGTGCCACACCTCCGCCGCCCACAACACCATGGCTGCGACCAACCCCGAGCTGCAGGCCAAACTGCAGGAGCTGGACCACGAGCTCGAGGAGGGCGATATTACACAAAAAGGGTCCGTACTGCTGCACCACCACCGCCATCCGCCTCTCTGCGTGCGCTAATCAGTCGCATAGCTATGAAAAACGTCGCACCGTGCTGCTGTCGCAGTATCTAGGGCCTGACTTTGCTGCCCAGTTGCAGGCCGACCTGAACCAGCAGAACCCACCCCAACCATCCAGTGAGGGCTCTCGCTCCCGCACCGCATCCTTTGCTATTCCGTCCGGTCCGAGTCCATCACCGCGACCACAACCCCCACATATCCAGCTCCCCCGCCCCGACTCATACCATGACGCTTCCGCACAGGGCCAATTGGGCGCACCCATGCCATATGCGAACGCCTCCGCCGCTGCCTCGGGGGGCTCGCAGTACATGGCCTACCCGCCCAGCCAAGTCGGCCGTTTTCAAGAGAAGCAGCTGGGCCTGCGTACAAATTCGCTCCAGCGCAATTCCTCACAGCTGTCGCAAGGAAGCGAGACGTTCATTCCACGGCCTCAAACGCCTGAATACAACCACTCGCGCGAGCCCACCATGATGGGCAACTACGCCTTCAATCCAGACAATCAGCAAAGTTATGATGGCCAATTTGGCTCTCCGGGAGAGGCCAGTCGAAGGAGCACCATGCTCGAGGTAAACCAGGGTTATTTTTCCGACTTCACAGGCCAGCAGATGCAAGACAATCGCGACTCGTATGGGGGACCCAACCGCTACTCGTCGGGAGATGCCTTTTCTCCTACCGCCGCGATTCCACCTCCCATGATGAACCCCAACGATCTCCCCTTGGGCGCTGCTGAAACCATGATGCCGCTAGAGCCCCGCGATCTGCCTTTTGACGTCTACGACCCTCACAACCCCAATGTCAAAATGTCAAAGTTTGACAACATTGGCGCTGTCTTGCGTCACCGAAGTCGCACACAGCCAAGGACGACTGCCTTCTGGGTCCTTGACGCAAAAGGCAAAGAGACGGCGTCCATCACCTGGGAAAAGGTGGCTAGTCGCGCGGAAAAGGTGGCCAAAGTGATTCGGGACAAGAGCAACCTCTATCGAGGCGACCGTGTGGCATTAGTGTACAGGGATACAGAAATCATTGATTTTGTCGTGGCGTTGATGGGCTGCTTCATTGCGGGCGTTGTAGCGGTACCCATCAATAGCGTCGACGACTACCAGAAACTCATTCTTCTCCTAACGACAACTCAAGCTCATCTCGCATTGACCACAGACAACAATCTCAAGGCCTTTCATCGTGACATTAGTCAGAACCGTCTGAAATGGCCGAGTGGGGTAGAGTGGTGGAAGACGAACGAGTTTGGCAGCCACCACCCCAAGAAACATGACGATACTCCAGCTTTGCAAGTACCAGAGGTTGCCTATATTGAGTTCTCGCGTGCACCTACTGGTGACCTTCGCGGTGTGGTGCTTAGTCACCGGACTATTATGCACCAAATGGCCTGCATCAGTGCCATGATTAGCACGATACCCACCAACGCTCAGAGCCAAGACACGTTCAGCACTAGCCTACGGGATGCAGAGGGAAAGTTCGTTGCTCCAGCACCGTCCAGAAACCCCACAGAAGTGATCCTCACGTACCTCGACCCGCGCGAAAGCGCTGGTCTCATTCTCAGTGTCTTGTTTGCAGTTTATGGAGGCCACACCACCGTATGGCTCGAGACAGCGACCATGGAAACCCCGGGTCTATATGCACATCTCATCACCAAATACAAGTCCAACATACTGCTAGCGGATTACCCAGGCCTCAAGCGCGCTGCATACAACTACCAACAGGATCCAATGGCTACAAGAAACTTCAAGAAAAACACAGAACCCAACTTCGCCTCCGTGAAGATCTGTCTGATTGACACGCTTACCGTCGACTGTGAATTTCACGAAATTCTCGGAGATCGATATTTCAGGCCACTGCGAAACCCTAGAGCGCGAGAACTGATCGCGCCAATGCTCTGCTTGCCAGAACATGGTGGAATGATAATATCTGTACGCGACTGGCTAGGTGGAGAGGAGCGCATGGGCTGCCCGCTAAGCATAGCAGTAGAAGAGTCAGATAATGATGAAGATGATACAGAGGATAAGTATGCAGCGGCAAATGGCTACTCCAGTCTTATTGGTGGTGGCACTACAAAGAACAAAAAGGAGAAGAAGAAGAAAGGCCCGACAGAGCTTACAGAAATCTTGCTGGACAAGGAAGCTCTGAAGATGAACGAAGTCATTGTTCTGGCCATTGGAGAAGAAGCAAGCAAGCGGGCAAACGAGCCCGGCACCATGCGAGTCGGTGCCTTTGGATACCCCATACCGGATGCGACACTAGCTATTGTAGACCCTGAGACAAGTCTTCTATGTTCACCATACTCGATAGGCGAGATCTGGGTAGATTCGCCTTCACTCTCTGGTGGCTTCTGGCAGCTGCAGAAGCATACAGAGACCATTTTCCATGCTCGACCATACCGTTTCGTTGAGGGTAGCCCTACGCCACAGTTGCTTGAACTCGAGTTTCTGCGTACTGGACTCCTCGGCTTTGTTGTAGAGGGAAAAATATTTGTCCTTGGACTGTACGAAGATCGCATCAGACAGCGTGTTGAATGG